AGGTTTGGGTTCAGGTTTGACTGAAACTTCAGAGCCCTAATGGTTATATTAACAAAAATTTTACTACGTAACATATCTTAGTGCTAGTTTATCACATAATTATCGAATGGTAGATTTTTATTGGTTAACAATAAAAAAAAAATCAATTTTCTTTTGTTGATGCGGGCAGGATATGAAAACCAATTATATAAATTTATATAGGCTAATGTTTATTAACATAAAAAATTTTCAGATCACAAGATTAAATATTTAAATGATTATCTGAATGTGAACTAATTATTTATATACAGAAAAAATAAAAAAAAAACAGCTAATATTTTAGAAGAATCTTCTAAAAAAAATAGAATTAGTTGATTTTTTATTTAAACATTAGATTTTTTTATTTTATTTAAATATTAAACGATTTAATTTTTATACAACAAACTAGTAAAGAAATATATCTATATTTACAAACTTTTAAAGAAAAAATATCTAATATTACTTTATATGAAGAATTATATGATACTCAATAGGATTTGAAAAAAGAAAAAAGAAATTGTCAAAATTAACAAGAAGAAATTTAATGATTAAACAAGCAAATTAATGAAATTAAAGAAGTTTATATTGAATCTATTAAACATCTTGAAAGAATTATTGAAGAAAAGAATATTATTATTCAAGATACTGTTAATCAATATGAAAAAATTGGTAAAAATACTATTAGACAATATGAAGAAAGATTGAATTTTTATGTAAATTTTTTTGGACAAAGGTTTAATTGTACAAATGAATTTTATTATATGAATTTTCATCCATATAATGAAGTGATCAATGAATTTATAAATGATGAATTATTTATTTTTCAAACTAATATTCTTAATGTTATTAATGATATTAATGATTCTGTTAATAATAATAGTAATAGATTTAGTGAATATAATTCTAATGATAGTGGTTATAATAGTTATAATGAATATGAAAAAATAATACAAGATATATTTAAAGTTACTAGTGAAGATAGTTTTTAATTTAAAGATTTATTGTATTATTTATATTATTTTTTTTATTATAACTAAATTATTATATTGTTATGAAGATTAAAAAAGTATTCATATTTTTCAGTAATTTCATATATTAAATTCTATCACTTGTTGTTTTAAAAAATTTTGATATCAAGATTCAATAAACTCAGATTTTTGCAAAACAAACTCAACAATGATAGGTCAAGATTTAATAAATTTAGATTTTTGCAAAACAAACTCAATGTTAATAGGTCAAGATTCAATAAACTTAGATTTTTGCAAAACAAACTCAACATTGATAGATCAAGATTCAATAAACTCAGATTTTTGCAAAACAAACTCAATGATAATAGGTCAAGATTCAATAAACTCAGATTTTTGCAAAACAAACTCAATGATGATAGATCAAGATTTAATAAACTCAGATTTTTGCAAAACAAACTTAACGTTGATAAATCAAGATTCAATAAACTCAGATTTTTGCAAAACAAACTTAATATTGATAGATCAAGATCTAATAAACTCAGATTTTTGCAAAACAAACTCAATGTTGATAAGTTAAGATTCAATAAACTTAGATTTTTGCAAAACAAACTCAATGTTAATATTCAGATTAAGATTTTTTTTGTAAAAAAAATAATAATAATTATAAATAACTTTATTAAAAAAAATTATTCAAAATTTAAAGTACATTTTTTATTAATATTAAATTTTATAGGGTTATATAATTTAACGCATATATGTTGTAATGCACCCCTCTGATCAACCAATTAAAACATAAGATCAGGTGTAATATTACACGATTAGAAAAATTTAAAACAAGCGTTTGTTTTGCCAAAAATCACTAACTCAAAATTTTGCATATGCAACTACTTTTCAGGTCTTAACAAAAAAAATTTTTTGCAAGATTTTACTATAAGCCTATCTTTTATAACTACTTTAAACTTAATTTAACCTTACCTAACGCTAACCCTAATCATATAAAAAACTATTGTTTTGATTTCATATTATACCTGATCTTATGGGGGTGCGTTATAATGCATATGCGCAAAATAATAAAATTCAATTTTATATTATCAATATTAAATTCAATTATACTACTATTTGTATTTAAAATAATTGAACTAATTTTCTGTTTCTTTATATTATTATTAGTTTCATTGTTTTTTCTTTTTTTAATTTCAACAATGTTATGTTGAACTGGTTGTAAAGCTTGACCAGTTGCAACAATTTCTTTTATAGTTTCTTCTTCATTAATCTCTTCAATTTGAATTGATTTAGGAACTTGAATTGAAGTTTCATTATTTTGTTAAAAAATTAGAATTTTCCTTTCTTTGAACTTTATTAATTTCTTTGATTCATTTTTCTCTTTTTTCTTGAATTGCTATAATTATACAATAATCATTTTTATGATATTTATAAAAATGATTTTTGAGATTAGTAACTTGAATATCAATATTATAAGTTGCTTCACAAATATTGCAAATAAGTCTCATTTTAAGAGTATTTATATAGAAGTAGTTATGAATTTCATAAGTATTATACATTTTTTTTTTTAAGAAATTATTATTTACTAAAAAAAATAAAGAATTTATAATAAATTTGAAATTGAAATTCGAAACAAGTTTTTCAAATCCATACAATATATTATTGTACTTTAATTTTCTAAATTCGTAAAATTGATGTTTAAACTTTTAAATTTATAATTATTACTCTAAATTCCTAAATTGTAATTTTGATTTGCAATATATTATTACTTTAAAATTCCTAAATCATAATTTTGATTTGCAATATATTATTACTCTAAAATTCCTAAATCGTAATTTTGATTTGCAATATATTATTACTCTAAAATTCCTAAATCGTAATTTTGATTTGCAAAATATTATTACTCTAAAATTCCTAAATCATAATTTTGATTTGCAATATATTATTACTCTAAAATTTTTAAATCGTAAATTCAATTTGTATTATATCCTAAGAGAAAATAAAAAAACTTGGTTTTTTTTTTAATTTTTCAAAATATCTATAAAAAGAGAAAAAAAACAACCTTTATTTCTACTTATCAAATCATAAGATTTGATAACCAAAAGCAATATTAGTCTTTTTATAAAATAATTAAAATATTTTTTAATTATTTACAATATCTATTCAAAAAGATATTGTAACTCCCTTTTCAAAGTTTTTAAAAATTAAACAAAAAGTATTCTATGAACATTTTATTGTAAAGAATTCAATATCTTTTAAAGATATTGATTTTAATCATTCATATATTATTCTTTATAAAAAAAGAAAACTAAATGAAAATTTTGATTTATTAGAACATACCTAATATATACCTATTTTATATTCTTTCAATATAAATATAACTGAAACTTTCTAAAGAAACAAAAAAAAATTTTCGTGAGGATTTATAGCAATATGATCCTCATTATACAAATTAGGAATATTCTTTTAGAAAATGTTATCATTACTTTAAATTGCTACAAAGTGTGAATAAAAAATATCTTAAAGAAAAATGATTAGGTTCTTTGAATGAAAAAGGATCTTTAATAAAATTTAAAAAATTATTTTAAGATTTAAAATTAGATTACGATTTATTTCTTTGGGTTAAAAATTTTTATTCTACTAATGCTTTTATTTATAAAAACGAACAGAACTTATTTAAAGAATTTAAAGATAAAGTTATTAAAAGAAAAAAGAAAGCCAAAGATATTGATATTGAAATTTTATTATATTTTTTCAAAGTTGTTTCATATTCTATTTTTTTTTAATTACATATTTAAAAATCTAATTGGTCAAAGACTGATTAGATATTATTATCTTTAAATATAATTTTATTATTATTAATAAATTCATTTTGAATAAATATATATTTACTATTATATGTATGAAATTTTAAATAATAATATTGTTTACATTTAATATAAAAATATTTTTTTTCATTATCAGGAATAACAAAGCCATTATCAGTATTATAATCTGAAAATCTTTCAGAAATAGTTGATTTAGTTGTGATATCAGCATCATTATCAAAATCTTCTTCAGAATAAAGTTTTTGTTTACATTGTTTACAATAATTTCGTTTATAAATAAAATCACAGCTATCACAATAATAAAAATAATTTTTATGAGGTTTTAACCACTCATTATATTTTTGTTTATAATTATAAATAGGTTTTTTCTGTTGTTTAATTCATAAACTTCTTCAAATTATAATATTTAAACTTGAACTAGTTTTGGTATAAAAATTATACAGTTTAATTAAATATTTTTTTTGAGAATTGAAAGATTATTTTTTAACTTTATGTTTACAAAAATAAAATTCTATTTGGTAAATTAAACTAAATAGAAGATACATCTTCAATCTCTTCAATCTCTTCAA